ATGGAAGTAGGGACCTGTGACATACACCCCCCAGTGTGCCTTCGAGAACTTGCTTTTTCTGTGGAACATTATTGTATTTGGAGTTTTATGAAGCTCCGCTGCTCATTTGGGCAAAATCTGTAATTTTCTCTGAAGTAATACTTAAAACTCGTAATCTGGAAACAAATTGTTTCTCATCAGTCAAATTAATTGCAACTAATTCCCAATCATTCAAAAATGGTTAGAGGAAAAATATATCTTTGTCCTCAAAAGTTTGATCGATGTGATGTAGTTGCTTGACTACAGCTTAATCCTTTTAGAACAGTAGTATGCAACAAAAGACGCTGAGGTCATAAGACACACAACCTTACTTATTTTTCTCCGTGTATTCCCATTTTTTTTATTACTAATATCCATATTTTTAGTTGCCTTTTTCTTTTTTCTTATCAGTTCCACAAATTGTTAACCTCAAAATGATTGATCCTGTGAAGTAAAAATCACCTCATATTTCTTTAAGTAAGACTCCCTATTCTTTACTACATTTATCATAATCAATACCTAATTGAAACACACACGCACACAAACAAAACGGCCAATTTCATCATTTTCTCTTCGCACTACATAAATTATAACATTCTAGCAACATACAGTATATCTTATGTCCAGGGTATGAACAAGACTTAATATCCAAGTAACCAATATTTACTCAATTATTTTTGTGGGGGCAAAACTTACTGTACTATAGCTGTATCAAACATAGACACAACAGCCTCCCTATGTGAGGGATGTTGCAGCTATTAGACGCAGCGCTCTTCATATCTTATAATGAAAAATAGGAACATTCAATATACTGTAGATTCAAATTTGATATTCAGGCCTATTTCTTTCTTGACTCACCTGATCATCGTTGAGAACATTAAGCTTTGTGTTGTTGTATCGACCAGCACCAAGTGACACCCAGCAAGGTGCTGTTCCACCACCTGGCTCACCACCTCGCCCACCTGGTCTATCCACCGATCTACTACCACACCGCTGTGGAACATGGGAGCCGTCATCAGCACGTCTGTTTGGTGACTGAGGCCGGCATTACTATCCATAGTTCTACCGACACACTTTCTCACCATCAACAACGCAATGAGTGTCGTCATACGTACAGTTGTTGACATATTCGCTGAAAAAATGAATTGTCACCTTATAAATTATCGAACTTTAAAAAAAGAAAAAACTTGTATGATTGAGCATAAGAGTCAGGGGTGGATAAAACCTTTATATATGTTGATTATAAATATTAATTATAAGTTAGCGGATGAGGAGACTTAACACAACGGATTGCTTATCTGTATTATTTTATAAATACTACTTTTTCGTTGGTTATTTCTCGTACTTTACTTAATGTTGTTGTACATTCAAGAATATTAAACTTCATCTTCCAGTCACCAGCATTCTTTTTTTCCATATAAAATAAAATTCGGACCCCAAGAAATTCAGAAATTCCTAGTAAGATCATGGCCTCGATTTTCTGAAATTTCATAGAGATTTTTCTAATCGAATGTCAGCCGTGTAAAGTATTATACTGGTCTAATAATATAATTTCTTGATGCTATCCGAAAAAAGAATTATAAGGAATGCTAGCTGGAGGTGTGCAACTGCTACTGTTTGATGAGACCTGGGTTCTTTTTCAGGAGGAGGGTGAGATCAAGTTCACAATGGTCAGGTATTAGGTATGACCCTACTAATCTTCAAAAAGCACCGCAGCAGTCGGTAGTCAGGTCAGAGTGTAAGCTGACCCAATTTCTTTATCTCTCTCTCTACAAAGGCCCTGAGAGTAATGGCTTATGTGTTATTCGTTAGTATAAATTTAATTATGTGGGAAAAGTGTCTCATATGTCGAGTGTTGGAGAACAACAAGAGGACTAAGGACTGTGGATTAGAAGGGGTAAGAGAGGGATTTGAGATGAATATGGTTTGGGGAAATATTATATTCGATGGAAATTGTAATTGTTTTTTCCAAGGTTATTATAGAATCTGAATTGTATGAAAAGAGACATTCTAGTTTTGTACTTACTTTTATATTCCTTATCGATTTAGTTCCTATAGACTCTCGCGTCTCTTGAATACTATTTAGACATGATATTTTGTATTGACAAAATAAAACATTAATTATGATTATGTATTTTAATTACTGCAGCTCTACATAGGAAGATGAGGACTAATAAACCAATGTTTAAAGTCTGCAGTAAGAGTATAGAGGGTCGAAGGAGGTCCAGACATTGAAGGAGTGATGATGTTATTGTGCTTCTTCATAACTTTAAGAGGTCTGCCACTACGAGGTCTTGTGTTGACGTGACCTTCTCGTTTCCAGCGTCTGATCCACCTGCACACAGTCGATGCACTCTTACCTGTTGCTCGTGCAATGGAACGGCAGGTCATCCCGTCCATCCACATTGACACTATCCTAGTGCGTTCTGTCAAGTCTGTCGGCTTGTGAGGACGTCGAAATTTCATTCTTTTCCTCTATGCAAAAATAAATTAATGTTACGTAGGTAATTGGTGGAAACCAATAATTCATAATATGTCTGTGCAGTAATTGTATGAGCAGTAAGTTAATCCATGCGAGGTAAAGGAATTATGTCTTAATATGATATGATTTTCTGTTTTAATTTGTCTTTTAACTTTTCATGGAATTTAACTTTTGGTTTAACATTTTAAGTTTTCTCATGTTTAAGATAAAAAAAATAACTTGTTGAGCATTGATAACAGTCATAGAAAAATAGAAATACAGCATAACAGTTTGACAATTGGGACACAATAGCTTCGTAAAATAGCGGACATATGCAGATTTGATTATGACCAAGAAGAAATATGCATTAACAAAGGTGAAATCCATCATTAACGACCTTAAAGCTGAGAAAAAAAAACAGTATCTTCATTTTGTGTTATTTCTTACATCGATCATCACCGAAACTTCTGTTTTTTACGAATCACTTAAAGTGTGTTGGACGACAAAAAGGATTATATGATATAACATATCTTCCTACCAAGTGTGTGTGATCACTTGACAAACGTTTGCTTGGTATGAATGCATCGTTCATGAAATACGCACAGTACAATGCTTTCCACACTACATTAATATGCCCGAAAAAGATAACTCAAAATTAATGTTTATTATTAGTGTCTAATGCAAAATTATTTTATTCTCTCGCTTTAATGTCAGTAACAAGTAAGAGAAGGTGTAGGACAGGTGGACTTACAGTGGGAGTCAGAGTGAACTGTTGGTGACAGAGAGCGGTGGACGAGAACAATGAACGGAAGGTTTCTCTGTCCCCTCCTTTTATTTGGTCGCTCACGCATTCGCTGAATGTCACTCGTCGACAGTATTTGTTTATGCCTTTCACATTTTGTATCAAATAAGTTCACAAATATTATTTTCATCTAGATTGTAGCAGGACATACCTATATGATCGTATTTCATGTGTCAATATATAAGCTGCATATATTGTATATAGCTGGAGCGGGGATGGCAACAATCCAAGAGGAAAACCCATGTGTGTGTGTGTGTAATCATGGTTATAATTAACGGTTTATTGAAAGAGCACGCCAGCCAGAATGCTGAAAATAAAAAGTTAATTAATTCAGGAATGCGTCACTTGACTAACAAATTATACACAAGTAACCTAAGACATACGAATTTGATATATATTTAAAGGTGGGGAGAAATTCATACTACAGGCATTTCAACAAAGTAACAGCGCCGAAAGCTTGGAGTTCCTTTCAGGTTCTCTCACCATAACAGCATCACCTACGTCTAACACGACAGGTTTAGCTTGTTTATGTTGCTTGACCATCATTTCCGCGCGTGACACTGCTAAATGTGTGGGTACTTGGCTATGAATATCCGTAAAAACACGGATTTGTTTTGCCGCTAAATCATCCATGTTATAAACAGGTTTCGAAGTGTCCGTAAGTACATCATAAGGCAGACGTTTGTCTGTACCATAGACAATGTAGTCGGGTGATTTGCCCGTAGAGCTATTAATCGACCCATTAATAGACGCTGCAACCTGCGGTAACCAATCTTCCCATGTGTACTGAAAATCACACACAATCGGGCGAAGTATCTCTAGGATCTTGCGATTGGTTCTCTCAACAAGGCCATTAGCCTGCGGATGCTAAGCTGTCACAAAACTTTGCTTTATTCCATATTGCCCACATATTTGTGCTACCAGCTGATTCTTGAACTCTGTCCCATTGTCTGAGAGAAGAACCTTAGGCGTAGTATATGGACATATAAGATTCATCACTAATGCACAGGCCACAGACTCGGCTGTTTTATCCTTCAGTGGGACCAAAACCACGAATCTAGAAAAATGATCCACACACACTAGGACGTACGAGGATCCCTGATGCCTCACGGAAGTTGTAACAGGTCAACAGCAACTGTGTCAAACGGACGGTCTGGTGCAGGATATTTTAGAATCGGTGCCGGTGACCTTGTAGTACCCTTATGTTGAGCACATGCCAAACACTTAGCAATGTGTAATTCTATATCTTTCTTCATTGTGTTCCAGAAATACTTCTTTCTTAGTTCTGCCAAGCATTTGTCACGCCCTTGGTAACCTGCCTGTGGAACATCATGGAACAATGTTATAATCGTTTCACACAACGTGTCAGGAATGACTATTTGAGAAACAATACCCTCGGGCGTCTTTTTCGACCTATGGAGTATGTTATGTCGTAATTCAAACTGACTTAAGGGAAGAATTTTGGGGGGAGTTTATCATCCTCTCCCGATTTTAGAGCAAAAATGACTGCTGACCATAACGGGTCGCGTCGTTGCTCATCCTTCAGTTGTGAAAGAGTGAACGTTGATACAGGCATCACTGGTGCTATATTTCTTGACAAAGCGTCGGCGACAACATTCACCCTTCCCGGTAAATACCTAAACTCTGGGTCAAATTCCTGAATTGTCAGATACCAGCGTGCCAATCTGCCTGATAAGTTTCTGCCATGGAACAGTTCAGTCACTGCCGCATGATCCGTAAATACAGTTATCTTATATCCAAAGATAATGTCCTTAACCTTCTTTAGTGCTCACACAACAGCTAACGTTTCCAAATGCGTTACTGAATAACGTGTTTCAGCATCAATAAGTTTACGACTTGCAAAAGCTATCACTCGAAACTTTCCTCGCGAATCCTCTTGCATGAGTACGGCTCCGATTCCTTGTCCAGAAGCGTCAGTACAGAGGGTGAAAGCTTGAGTGTAGTCAGGGAATGCCAGAACAGGGGCATTGGTAAGCGCTATCTTTAATGCCGCAAAACTATTTTCGTGTTCAGCGTCCCACACAAACATTGCATCTTTCTTAAGCAACCTTGTTAGGGGTGATGCCAATGTTGCATTGTTCTTAATAAATAAACGATAATATCCAGATAAACCAAGAAAACTACGCACTTGATCAACCGATGTAGGACGCAGGAACTGAGATACAGCTTTCACTTCATCACCCGCTGTATGAATGCCGTCACCGTCAACTACATGACCAAGGAAATGGATTCTGGATTTTATAAACTCAAATTTTGAAAGCTTAATCTTAAGACCAGCTGTGGAAAGTTTTTCTAACACTTCACGCAGTTTAATCAGATGGGTATGAACGTCCTTACTGACTACTATTACATCATCCAAATAAGCGCAGACTGTGGTACAAATCAACCCGGCAAACAGGGTGTTGATCATTCTTTGAAATGTCAGTGGGGCATTCTTGAGACCAAAAGGCATCCGTAGGAACTCAAAGTGGCCCAGGGGCGTACTAAATGCCGTGACCATATCTTGAACTACAGCGCGCTGGCTATGTGGTAGTCTGTAAGCTGGTACATAGATTGGATTTGTTCCCTCCTTTAACGATATGTGATGGGATGATAAAACTGTCTGTCCTAGCTTTTCCCCTGGCAAGGCCACAATATTTCTGTAGTCAGCAAGCAGTTCCAAAAGGCATGTCTTGCCCTGAGGATGATCCATCACCTTAACATGTGGCACTATTTGATCTATCCTCTCTTACCTAGTCTGTTGGGATTGAGGTACAATACTACCAATTGGGAATTGCGTAGGCTGTAATTCGACATTGTTGTGATATACCAGAAAATCACACAAATAACATCCTTTCTTCAATATCCTCTGAACGCCTGTTCCATTCAGAACTAGAACGTCTGTCAAACCACCAGGTCGTATCGTGCTTAACGTCGACTCGCACGACAAACCCTTTACCTTGCACGTTTCCGGGAGACATACTACATCGGTCCCCGTATACACGTCAGGTAATTCCACAGTGGCCTTGGTGAATTCCTCATTCTGATAGTGGAGAGTACTCTTCAAAATTGCAAGTACAATCTTCCAACTCTTGCTGCTATAATCACGCTGGGAAAGTGAGGGTGTGAGGTCTTGGGTTAGCTCTGACACATTATCCGCCTTTCTCCGAGTGGGAATGGTGGACAACACTTTCGACCTTGCAGTGAGTAAAGGTGCAGAATGACGCATAGTGTTGTAGGAAACACCTTTAAACGTAATAGCATTATTACGTGGGCGAACATCTATATTATTCGTTCTAAGTGTTGGGAGACCAATTAATCCGTCAGCTGGCAAATAAAATTGCTGAACCACATAAAAGTCCTCGCAGAAGGGAGTACCACGTCTTGAAAATCTAAGTGGTAACGTCACCATTCCGTCAATACTCAGCTGCGTGCCAGATACTCCTTCGAAATCGGCGTCAGTAGGTCTCCATAGGAAATCACGGGAGAGGAATCTACGTTGTAACACCTAAAAGGATGTCAAGGCCAAAACATTTACGCATGCACCCGTATCAATATCCAGAGCCAATCTGATATTATTCACTCTCACCGGTACGGACAACACTTCCACTTTACTTAGCGCCGCTACTAATGAGGCTGCTACAGAAGTGTTGTGGGAAGTAGGTACCAATGTACCTACCCTTCCCCGTTTTTTGACAGGTGCTGGCCTTCCCCCGACTTCTTTTCCTGGTAACGACGCGCCTTATGCTGCTGTGTTGACCGGTGGAATGCACACCACGATCGTGATTTTTGGCGAGGTGGGGACGTAGTCTTAACCGCCTCCGTGTACGTCCTTGGCTTCTGCTTAGCCCCTGTTGGGGGATGGGTGTTCTCTGGTACTTTAACACCACCACCCTGGAGCTGATAACAATCATCGATCGAATGGCCCCTTTTATTACAATGGGTACACCTCAGAGATCGACGTTGCTTATAACTCCGGTGTTCAGGTGCGATCGGAGCCAACCGCTGCATTTGCGCTACCTGGGGAGACGCCGTAGTCTGGGAAGTACGTGCCATCAGAGGTCCTGTCACCTTCGGAGAAAGCTTGTTAGCATAATCCACCATAACAGTAGGTGGGACAAACTCCACTTCCTGGGACCGGCCATAGATGGGACGTCGAACCGCTAACAGGAAACTAATCAACTCGATTAATGTTTCCGCATTTGTTTGTGACATCTTACCATCATTGTCGTACCATCCCGAATCCCGGAAGGTCGCCTCCATGTCTTGACTTACTTCTCCGGCAATGTCAACAGCCCTCATTGGTGATTCCGCGTGAACCACCGGAGCCAGACGATCCAGCCATCTAAATACCCACTGCAGATGGCCCAAGTGGGACCGGCACTCAAAAATTCTAATGAGAATGCGCTTGAACTTCTCATAGCCAGGGTTCGTTAGACCTTACGCATTCAAGTGCATGCTAGCAAACGAACCCTGCGGGATGTGGGAACGCACAAACACCTTTTTATCATAATCTTCGGTAATTTTTACATTGCCCATAGTGTCCTAACACGCACGGATAAATTGGGTCACTCTATAATCGTCCTGACCAGTAAAATCACGGACTTTGTCAGCAAGCGGCAACATGTGAAACACATTATCTGAGTTAGTCGACGTGGGAGCATTATTGCGTGAAGTGTTAGAATAAGCCATGTTAGCGTTAGATGTCTGCAAGCCACTACGTTTACTTCCAACAGAAGGCTCAGTTAATGGGCGGGGTAATGCTAAGTTAGCCGACACACTATCACCCAGAGTAGGATTAAGAACTATCTGTGACTGTCCTGGCGAGGTACTATACTGATTCCCCGATCGTAATGTACGACGGTTTAAATCGTCAAATGATTCCTCAATTAACTGCTCACTACTCTACAGAAACGTCTAACTGTGTTTCCGGCTTAAATCCTAATTTAACCTCTGCAGTAGATACGTGGCGTTTATCCTCTATTTGTGATTC